GGAGGGAAGGAAGGAGGGAGGGAAGGAGGGAAGGAAGGAAGGAGGAAGGGAGGAAGGGAGGAAGGGAGGAAGGGAGGAAACCCAACAACAACCAAACCGAATTAAAGAGTGTATCGTACCCACCTCACTGGGTTACTATGAGGATTAAATGACAATATGCACCGTGTCCTTATCCTCATGCCTGGCACATTATAAGGGCCCAAAAAATGATGGTGATTAGATCATAATTATCTTCATCATCACCATCAGTATTTTTATCATTCCTATTTCATTTATATCAGTAAATTAGACATAAGCAAGACACATTTTTGCCATTAAAAAAATTGCGGCAGATATTCCAGTCCTGGACTCATCTTAGAACCAACATAGCAATAATCCCCTTTTATTACCTATTTTCCACACTGAGAACTGGACATGGCTGATGGCTGGAGCCCTGCCCATGTCGATTAGAATCATCCCATTTCACAGACCAGGAAGTGAAGGGCCAGAGAGCTTGGGTGACTTGCCAGTAACCACACAGCTAGTGAGAGGCATCACCTGGGTACAGCCTCAGTCTGTGTGGTCCTGAAGCCCATGCAGGCTCTGATCCTGGCCCCTGGCTGGAGACACAGAGGTTCAGGATGAGGCCACAGGGACAGGGGGCAGGCAGCTTACAGACTCCAGAGAGAAGGGTCCCTGGTCCAGGAGCCCTGGTCTGGGACCTGGCTTCCCAGAGCAGGGCAGTTGGTACTTGCATTCCTGGCTGGCATGTCTATTATACCACTCCTGAGGGCCTGGCTGGGAGAGCTGAGCCTTGTGGATTCCTGGCCAGGCACCACTGGGCAAGCCGGACACAGCAGTGCTGTTGTAGGCAGAGGGAGGACTCAGAGCAGTGCCCTTGGGTGACCAGGCTTAGAAGCCGACCGCCTGGGAACCTGGCAGGCCAAGGGAGGTGGTTCCCCTGCTCACAGCGGTCTTGAGTAGTAACAGTGACTCAATCAGGACAGTCCCGTGGGATGCGGAGCACAAGGCTGTCACCCTGGAATCTTCTCACTCCACCTCCGCAGTCATCCATTGAGCAACTGTCTTTCTCTGTGCCTTGGCTGCTATCTGGACCACTGTGATGACCTCCAGCTGAGCCCCTGCCCCTGCTGCCCAGCAAGCTCTTTGCTGTGCTAGAGGGAATTAGTCGTTTATTTATTTTATTTTATTTATAACATAATAAATGTTACAAGCATAGCTGGATCTCGCTATGTTGCCCAGGCAGGCCTTGAACTCCTGGCCTCAAGTGATTCTCCCACCTTTGCCTCCTCAGTAGCTGGCCCTACCGCATTGAGTCCCTGCTTTCAGCCATGGGAATTTTTTTAAATGCCAAGACCAGACTGTGTCTGCCCCACTCAGAACCTCTCATGAACTGCCCACTGCATTTCAAATAAAATGCACCCTCCACAGCGTGGCCCAGAGGTCCTGCAGAGTCAAGGTCTGCTGACCTCTGACCTCGAGTCACTTTCCCTTCATCTGTCCCCTCCCACCACACAAGTCTGTTCCCCTTTCCAGGAATATTCTTCCTGCTTCCCACCTTCCTGCTCCCTGCCTGCTCAGACCTACTCAACCTACGAACCTCAGGGAAGAAGGACCGTGGCATTGGGCTGTCTGCCGCGTGTGCACGTGGACACTCGAGTCTCCCTGCTGATTAGCACATAAGAGAGTCTTGGCTACCAGCCCTCTGGCCTCTCTGGCCCTTCCCTTTCCGCATCCCCTGGTGCCACCACCAACAGCCAGTGGAAAGTTTAATAGGCAAAAAAGAGACCGAGTCTCGCTCTGTCACCCAGGCTGGAGTGCAGTGGTGTGATCGTGGCTCACTGCAACCTCCGCCTCCTGGGTTCAAGCAATTCTCCTGCCTCAAGCTCCTGAGTAGCTGGGATTACAGGCGCCCACCACCACGCCCAGCTAATTTTTGTATTTTTAGTAGAGACAGGGTTTCATCATGTTGGCCAGAATGGTCTTGAACTCCTGACCTCATGATCTACCCGCCTCTGCCTCCCAAAGTGCTGGTATTACAGGCATGAGCCACTGCGCCCGGCCCCAGTGGACATTTTGTAAACACCAGCTCATGTCAGCTGTTGCCTCTGCTGGCTCCTTGACCTAGAGTGCCCTCGCCCCACCTATTCTGTTCCTTTAAGACACAACCCAAATGTCATTTCTCCTGGGCAGCCTCCCAGTTCCCTCAGCTATAGGGGGTTCCTGCGCATTCTGACCTCCCACATGCCTGCACCTCACTCTGTTCCAAGTGTCGCTCACCGTTTCCATGTCCCCTCTGCCTTCCTGCTCCAAGCACAGAGCCAGACACATAGTAAGTGCCCTCCCAGTGTCTGCAGACACAACAGATCTCTGTGTCTCAGTTGGACTTATGTTTACAAACCTGAATTCTAAAGCCAGACCCTGGTTTGAATCTCAGATCTGTGACTTCCCACCTGCATGACCTTGAGCAAGGGGCTTAACCTTTCCAAGCCTCAATTTCTTCTTCTGTAAAATGGGGACAATAATTGTGCCTGCTTCATAGGACTGTTATGAAGACAAAATGGGTCAGTGCGCATGACCTGCTTAGAAATGAATCCAGTACACGGTGAGCACTCCTTAATATTGGTGGCTTTTTTTTTTTTTTTTTGAGATGGAGTCTCACTGTGTCACACAGGCTGGAGTGCAGTGGTGTGATCTCAGCTCACTGCAACCTCTGCTGCCCAGGTTTAAGCAATTTTCCTGCCTCAGCCTCGTGAGTAGCTGGGATTACAGGCGCCTGCCACCACACCTGGCTAATTTGTATTTTTAGTAGAGACAGGATTTCAACATCTTGGCCAGGCTGGCCTTGAACTCCTGACCTCGTAATCCACCTGCCTCGGCCTCCCAAAGTGCTGGGATTACAGGCGGCAGGAGCCACCACGCCTGGCCTAATATTGGTGGCTTTTATATTTCTCCCTGGCGTGGGCCTGACATTTCAGCTGCCTGTGGCAAGTGCTTCCTGAATTGACAGCCGTTCTCCACCATTTCCAGAGCTGGACAGAGGCCTCACAGAGCCCCAGATACAGGTTGTTTGCCGCCAGATGCTAGAAGCCCTCAACTTCCTGCACAGCAAGAGGATCATCCACCGAGATCTGAAAGCTGGCAACGTGCTGATGACCCTTGAGGGAGACATCAGGCTGGGTAAGGGACTCAGGGTGGGAAAGGTGGGGTGTCGGCCTGGCCTCTGCAGGCCAGTGGGAGTGTGGACGTCGTGGGGGTGTGAGGTCCTCACACCTATGCCCTCTTGGCATGTCAGCAGTTCTCCCCTTCCTACTCTTCATTCTTTTTTAAACATTGTTTTATTTTATTTTATTTTTTTTGAGACAGTCTTGCTCTGTCACCCAGGCTGGTGTGCAGTGGTGCATTCTTGGCTCACTGCAACCTCCACCTCCCAGGTTCAAGTGATTCTTGTGTTTCAGCTTCCCAAGTAGCTGGGATCACAGGCGCCTGCCGCCATGCCTGGCTACTTTTTATACTTTTAGTAGAGATGAGGTTTCACCTTGTTGGCCAAGCTGGTCTCGAACCCCTGATCTCAAGTGATCTGCCCGCCTTGGCCTCCCAAAATGCTGAGATTACAGGTGTGCACCACTGTGCCTGGCCAGCTTCTTTCTAATCAAGAGAATTCGAGTGAGAGTGATGGCTGGAGGGATGACCCAGCTCCATCCCCAGATGGAAAACAGTAGGACATTAAGCACATATATCAAAACCTTCTTTTTCTTTTTTGGACAGAGTCTCACTCTGTTGCCCAGGCTGGAGTGCAGTGGCAAAATCTCGGCTCACTGCAGCCTCCACCTCCTGGGTTCAAGTGATTCTCCTGCCTCAGCCTCCTGAGTAGCTGAGACTACAGGCGCCCGCCACCATGCCTGGCTAATTTTTGTATTTTTAGTAGAGACCGGGTTTCACCATGTTGGCCAGGCTGGTCTCGAGCTCCTGACCACAAGTGAACCACCCACCTCAGCCTCCCAAGGTGCTGGGATTACAGGTGTGAACCACCACTCCCGGCTCAAAACCTTCTTCTTTAAATGTCTCTTTGTATTTTTAATGTTTTTATTTTTTTAACCAAAGTGACACATACGTGTGTCATCTCCTCATGTGTCTCCTTTTGCCATGCACCTGCAGAGACAAGCGCTTTGAGCTCTTCTCCTGTGTACTTCTGCATCACCAAGTTATATGGCTGCAATGCATTTTTGAAAGTAATGATTTTTGGCTGGGCGCAATCACTCACACCTGTAATCCCAGCACTTTGGGAGGCCAAGGTGGGCGGATCACCTGAGGTCAGGAGTTTGAGACCAGCCTAGCCAACATCTCGAAACCCCAATCTCTACTAAAAATACAAAAATTAGCCGGGCTTGGTGGCACACGCCTGTAGTCCCAGCTACTCGGGAGGCTGAGGCAGGAGAATCGCTTGAACCCAGGAGGTGGAAGTTGCTGTGAGCTGAGATTGCGCCACTGCACTCCAGTCTGGGCAACAGAGTAAGACTGTTTCACGAGAAAAAAAAAAAACAAAAAAACACCCAGTTGGTACTCAATAAACACTCACTTCCAGCATTACCATCACTTTAGCCTATGGTTAGTTACTTCAGCATCCCCAACTCCCAACGCCCCCCCGCCCTGCCCAATGTGCCGAAGACCCTGGCAGGTGGACCAGTCAGGAAGCCAAATGCCCATCTGTCACTCCTGCCTTCACCCAGCCTAGCATTGCTATTTCCTGCTACCATCGGGCTGGGGGCCTGGTTCTTTCACTAGAGCTACCATGCACTGAGCCAGCATCTGGTATGTGTTAACTCATTCCATTCTCAAAGGCCACTGATAACATCGTGCAGGACGGATTTGGGACCTAGCAAGACTGACTTATCCAGGGTCACTCTGCTGATAAGAGGAACAGCTGGGGTTCAAACCAAGGCAGCTGGCTCCAGAGCCTACGTGCTTAACCACTACCCTCTTGTCGCCTCTCTTAGTGGCAAATGATAAAAACCCACTTCCTAAGAGTTAAGGCAGACAGGAAAATGTGTACATCATGGAGCCAAATTGGAGAAGAAATACAGCTGGGTGGGCTTTAAAGTTGGTTGGAACCTGGAACATAAACGCTGCCAGGACTGTCTCCCTGGCCCTTGGCTTTCTGTGCATGTAGGTTAGGCTCCCAGACCAACCCTCTCCACCAAGCTCAGGATACCATCTAGTTTCACCTTTCCCAGCATCACCACCTGCTGCATGAGCCTGAACTCACCACTGGAGGCTTTGGCATCAATAATCCCAGGGGAGGGCTCTGATTGGCCCCACCTTGGCCCAGATAGTAATCTTTGGACCAAGCAGTGAGGCCCAGGAAGGAGGGTGTCTCCCATAAGCCCGGCTTGTCTTCAGTCTCTGGCATGGAGGGTGGGGTCACGTGACAACACGGAAGTAGCCCTTGCCCCCACAGTGAGGCAGTGTGTTGGGTGGGGAGATGGTTTTTCAGAGGAAGAGGGGTTCGGACTGGCCACGAAAACAAATTGCTGTCCACCTACTCTGCCCAGCCTATGACAATCACACAGGCCCAGCAGAGGGAAAGTAAGTGAGGCAGAAG